GGCCCGGTGCCCCCTCATCACCGCCCCAGGTGAGTGTGGGGGCAGCGCTGGTCTGCTTAGTCCTTGAGGCCCTTCCCCGGTGCTGTGGGGGGGTTTCTCTCGGGAGGGCGACGGTTGAGGAGCGGGGGACGCCCGGCTCCCTTTGTCCGCGGAGGGGGGGTGGATGAGCTGCCAGCTGTTGACGCCGTGTGTTTGCTGTGAAGGTGAAGGAGCCGGAGGCAGGGGAGAAGATGAGCAGTGTGGCTGTTCAAGCAGCTGAATCTCCACTTGGAGCAGGAGGGGAGGTTTCAGCCCCGAGAGAAGGGGCTCAGCCTCATCGAGAGCGCCGCTGAGGTAAGAGGGGGAGCTGAGCTATGGGAGGCACGGAGGGAGGAGGCAGCCTCCTTAGGGCAGGAAATAATGTCTAAAAAAACCCCTCCCAGTTGGGAGGGAGATGTGCGTTACCGTCGAAAAGTTAATTCTTTTCTTTGTAAACGCCAGTTGCCTTTTGTTTTAGCTGTCTTAATTTGTAGTTACTAATGCACACTGGATTATCGAGGGACTGTGACCTGTAGGGTCAGTAAAATATTTATGCATTTAGTATTTATTGTTTAACCCTCGGGTGTGCAGAGAACCAGGAGAAATGTATTTTTTATTTTCGTCTCGGGAGCTTTGTGCCAGTGTCATGTACCACTACAGCAAAGCTGGGATGTCAAGCAGGCAAATTTTAAACGTGAAATAACTGCGTTTTTATTAGCAAAGCCTTAGGAAATGAACCGAGAAACGCTCGGTGTTTAACAGCAAAAAATAATCTAGGCATAAGAATTTCAGCCTTAATGGTCAGAGCCCCTTTCTGAGTTAAGGCAGCCTTGCATTTCTTGGTTTCTTTGTGAGTTTTTTGGTTAGGGCCTTAATGTTTAACAAAAGGTCTACGAAATCAGCCTCCTTGTTTGCTGTGAAAGCAGGACTGTTGGTCGCTTAAATATTGACATGCAGGCGGAGGGGAGAATAAGCTGGGTTTGGTCATCCCTGTTTCTGTAAGGTCAGGAGTCGACGTTGGTGCAACTGTTGTCTTAAAATAACAAGTGTGTACTTTGAAATGTGGTTGTGCTGGGTATTGCACCGGTGAGACTCACCTGGCTGCGATCCATGTGCTGTGGGTGTGTTTTGAGTCTCAAGTAACTAAATTAATTTTTTTCAAAGTTAATAGACATAAAGTGCTTAAGGAAATTGTTTCTCTTTGATCGAAGTAAAAGGTGACTTAGGGAGTGAGTGGTTGCAGTCATTGCTGCTGCCCCTGCTAAAATTCTGGCTTTACTTCTCTTGCCACAGGATGAAAAGTCTCTGTGTCCGAGACAAAGGAACGCCAAGGTGGAAGATCTCTGGAGCCTGACCAACTTTTTCGGTTTTGCGACTGAAACGTTTGTTTTGGCTGTCAACATTCTGGACAGATTCCTGGCTCTCATGAAGGTATTTTTGGGGAGAGGACCTGCTATAGTGTCAGCTGGGTATACACAAGTTTCCTGTGAACTTCCTTGTCTGACAAAAAGGGGAAGGCTGTGAGCTGGGAGGTATCTGTTGCTATTTACTCTATCTTAGCAACATTTCTGAACTCTTTTGTAAACCTGAGGACAATTCTTGGATGAAAAATGAGATTATATTTATGTGATTTATTATTTACACTCTGACCTCTTCTTACCTCTAAAGGCAAGTAGCAGCATGGTTTATTTTCTCTGGGAAGTCTGTAGCCTTCAGCAGGTAGATGGAGAAGACTAAGAAGGGAGGAATGAAGAGCAAACAAAACAATTGGTGCTACAGGCTACTTCTAGGTCTTGTGCTAAAGCTTAGTGCTGGAACAAGTACAAATGATCATTTCCTGGGTGTTTTTCTTTCTGTACTTGTGCTGCTTTATGGCAGACAAGTTCAACCTAAATCAGTTCCCTGTTATGAAGTTGGCAGAAAAACTGATGTCTGTGGTTGCAACAGCTCTCTGACTCTCCTTGAGGTCGCACAAAATGTGTTGTCGGTACAGGGGAGAGAATAGCAGAGGTAGGAAAGAGTTGTGGGGGGATAGGACTGCCTCGAACAGGCTCAGGCTGGATTTGTGTAGGCTTTAAATGAGGGTAGGTTAGCACTGCTGCTTGGAGAAGTGAGGTATTGCAGTTCTCACCACGACTTATTTGTAGTGCAGCGATGTGGAACGATTTCAGTAGAGGGTGCTCAGCTGTTGGCCTTGGCTGTGGCAGATTGATACTGGGCTGTTGACTCTGCCAGCTGTTTTGCTGAAACTGAAGTGACGAAACTAGGTGAGGTGTACGAGTTAGCTGATGTCAGGTCGAGGTGAGATAAGCAAATCTCTTTCTGTTGAACTGTGAGCATTCAAAACACCTCACTTCAGCAAGGTGAGCTGCCTGCCTCGCTGCTTGATAAGCTCAGTGTTTCTGGGGGAATATTCACAGCGCTTCCTCTTGTTTTTTAGGTGAAACCGAAGCATTTGTCTTGCATTGGGGTTTGTTGTTTCCAACTGGCTGCCCGAGTCGTCGAGGAAGAATGCAATATCCCATCTGCTCACGAGATCATCTGGATCAGCCAATGTAAATGCACTGTGTCCGACCTGAAACGGATGGAAAAGATAATTTCAGAAAAGTTGCACTTTGAATTTAAAGCTACTACTGCCTTAACCTTCTTGCACTTGTACCATACTATTGTACTCTGTCATACCTCAGAAAGGTGAGTCGAGTTGCACGGTGGTGGTTAAAGTTTGCTCAGCCCTTTGTTCAGTTGCCTCTGAAATGATGATGGCATTGGCTGGAGAAGAGGCAGCTCCTTGGTTCTTAGTTCCTGACGTGTGAATGCTTCATCTCTTGGGTGTCTTACAGGAAAGAAGTATTGAATCTCGACAAATTGGAAGCACAGTTAAAAGCTTGCAACTGCCGTCTAGTCTTTTCTAAAGCAAAAGTAAGTAGAAGTAGCTTGCTTTCACTCCTGAGCAGGTTTTGATTCAGCTTAATATTGAGCAGTGGTTTTTGTCCTTCTAGCCATCTGTCTTGGCCTTGTGCCTTCTCACTCTGGAAGTTGAGACTCTGAAATCTGTTGAGCTGTTTGAGATCCTTCTGCGCGTTCAAAAGCACTCGAAGGTAAATATTTTCCGTGGCTTGTTTTTGCAGTTGTTGGGACTGGTGCAGTTAACGATGCATAGTGTTAAGTTTCGAGAACCCCTGCTGTTGGTGTACAATCTTCACAGGCTCTGGTTGGCCTCAGCTGAAATAAGCAATGAAATGGGTCTTTAGGTGTCTGAAAACCTTGTAACTAACACAGTTTCATTGGTAAAATGCCAAGAGAACGAGGTGAGGCGGTCATTTTACACCGGTGCATCTTGGCAGCTGCCTGGCAAGCAAAAAGATGGTGGTTTGAAAACTAGCTTATATGTATAACATCAAAGAAATGCTGACCTAATGCCTCCATGATCCACATTTTAACAAGTGGCTGGTTGAACTTGGTGCAGTTCTAGCTGTATGTTCTAGGGAAACTCATGAACTGTAGGACTAAGTTGACTGCTGGGCTGGTTAATCTTTTTGCCATTTGAAAATGGAGGGAATCTCTGTTTCACTTTATCCTTTGGAAATTATAATACTGACAGGCAAACTGTCCACTTAACTCAGAAGTGGACATTTGTAGGAGGTGTACAGGTGTTCACCTTCAAAAGCAGCCACACTTTGACAAACCTGTATGGTTATAGCTCAGATACATTTAGACTCATCTTTTTGAGTCGTTTCTGAGAAGGTCAAATGGAGGGAGAGGTTCTTTTCAGAACCTGTGTGTAATAGACTGAATAGGTTCTTTTTTCATGTTTCAGATAAGCGATAATGACTTGCTTTACTGGAGGGAACTGGTTTCCAAATGCCTGGCAGATTATTCTTCTCCTGAATGTTGCAAGCCCGATCATAAGAAGTTGGTTTGGATTGTTTCGAGACGTACAGCCCAGAATCTTCAGAACAGTTACTACAGTGTTCCCGAGTTGCCAACGATACCGGAGGGTGGATGTTTCAATGAGAGCGAGAGGTTGGTAAAGCTTACTCAGATTTTATAGAAGTCTTACTGGCAATGCTGTTTAAGTAGGCTTATTTAGTACTACTTGGAGATAAAATGCTAGCTTTGAAAGTACTAGTGGATTTAAAATACATCTTAAAAGAAGAAAACATGGAGAACTGTCGCTGTTTGTGTTCCAAAAGTACCAGTGGTTTGTGGGGTGGGGAGGAGCATTCTTTTTTTTTAAGGCAAGGAGGCTTATAGAGCATTTGTCTTCTAAAATAATTTATCTTTGGTATTTTGAATGCTAGCTTTTAGGCTGGTAGATGTTTGATGTTAAGAGAGAAGAAATTGGACCTTGTTATGATTTAAGTCTTAGTGCTGAGAAGTGTTTAGATGGGGATGTTGTACTAGGAACAGAACAGCTCTCAAGGGAGCACAGGAGGGAGGAGTACTTTGCTGCTTTCATGGGTTTGTGCTTTGTTTAAATCACCTTTCCTACTGTTCTTTCCAGTGAAGACTCCTGTGAAGACATGAGCAGTGGAGAAGAAAGCCTTAGCAGTTCCCCGAGCGATCTGGAAGGCACCTTCTTCTTTGAACTGAAACCTAAAACCAAGTGGCAAACTCTTAACTGTCGGTCGTAGCATGAAGTCTTGGTTGTATTCGGTGGAGTTTTTCAATGCACCATAGAGTCTTTTGGCAATAATAAATGAGGAGGTGGTATTCTGTGAACTGTATTAAGGCAAGAGTTGCTGTGGTATATCAATGCTTTGAATGCCTGCCTTGTTGTTTTTGTTGTTACAACATTAGAGAAGAACAACATAATCTTTCAGGTCCCCAGTTCAGCAAAAAAAGATGATGTATAGTTCTGCTGTCAACAAAGAACTGTAGACTGTAGCCAATACATGGAGATTTTTTCCTCCCTTGGCATTCCTTCTCATGTGGAACGGTGTTTTGGGCCTGCGATGTTGATCAACTTGTGCAAGTCCAGCAATAAGCTGCCAAGATGGTCAAGTGATTTAGGACACAGGGCCTGTGAGGAGAGACCAAGGGGAAATGAGCTTGTTCAGCCTGGCAAGGAGGTGTTTGGGGGTTGAAGTGGGATTGAACAGCAGCCTTTGGGTATCTAAAAGGAGAAGACCATTTCAGGATCTTGATTGAGAAGCATAGAGCAAGAGTTAGAGACTTTATTAAACTGAGGTCTGGGTTAGTAGAAGTTTGCTCTGTGGGGATAGCCAAGCATTGGAGTGCACCACAAAGGGGCTCTGCAGTCTTTGTTGTGGCAGCTTCTCAGGATTGAACGTGACAAAGCCCTGAGCTGGGTTTGAATTGTGATGGCCCTGCTCTGAGTGGGAGTTTGGACCAGAGCCCTCTTGAGGGCACCTCCACCTTGTAGTGTTTGGGATTGGAGCAGGTTAAATGATTTACTGCCGCGTGGGCTAGAAACTGCGGCTGCTCTAAACCCTTCATGTGCTGTGCTCCTTCTCAGCAGGATCTTGAGTTGTGTACTCCAAACTTTATTAAAGCTTGATTTTTATAAACTTCAGGAATCCCTATTTTCTAGCAGGAGTATGCATGGCAGGAGTGGAGGTTTCTAGTCAATACTGTTTTCACTGAAGGTTTAGTATAAAGTGTGTGGCAGGGCATAATTCCGTATGTTCTTCAATACCAATGAGGTTACACTGAAATTCACGTCGTGTACTTCAGTGTGTCTAAAAAATCTCAACTGTTACCATGTCAACCCATGCTCTTAGACTTACTAACATGGTAAACCTTGATAAGTCTACATTGCTTTTGATATTTAACCCTTGTAGTTGTTTTTCAGTATATTCATGTTATTGATCGAGTCATAATCAGACTTGTTTGCATGCTTATGTAAAGCGGTTAGTGCAGGAGAAGTTGATTTTTATGCAGTAATATCAGGTAAAAGTGATGTTGATGAAGTAGTTAATGATGTTTGTTTGTTTGTTTGTTTGTTTTTCCCCTGAACTTTTTATTGAAGCACAAACTGAAGCACGATTGCGTTTCTCCATACTGAGAATATGGCCAGGTAGCGAGGGAGCGAATTAACTCGGAATCAGTGGTGTGAAATGTGGTCGTGCCAAAGTAGCAATGAAGGAGCAAACAAGCTAAAGGCCGTCGTTTTGGTAGGTGCGAGCGGTGTTGTAGAATGGTAAGAGCGGTGCCGTAAGTTTAATAACTGTTCTGTGGTTTCAGTTTTAGAAAAACACACGCGCAAAAAAAAAAGGTTTACAAAAAATGTATATAAAAATGTAAATTTAAAAAATGTACAGGAAAAAAAATTTAAAACAAAAAAATGAACAGAAAATACTGTATTTTTTTACGCTGTATGTAACTTTTTGTAGGTATGTTGCATGTAGATAGTAATTTATTGTGTACTCTGTACGATATAAATACTGTACACCCCGAGATTTCTTACTGCCAGTCTCTGTGCCTGGAAGCTCCCTTCTGGAATAAGAGAACTTGGGTTGCAGGTAATGAACCCACTGAGTCTTGGTTCAGTCCAGGAAATAAATAAACCGAGTGCTGTATTTGTTAACTGCTGTGAGTTGTGGCTGGTTACTGGAAGCTTCGGGCTTGCTTTTTATTTTGGGTGCCGTACAGCTTGTGTTCTTGTTTCCCGGGAGTTTGGGTGGGTGGTTTGCTGGGCAAATGCGAGCTCCCATAAATGGTCAAGTTAGGAGTAATTACAGACCAAATAGATTGCCAAAACACTGACAAATAACTCAAAGAAGTCAAATGAGCTTGTTTCCTTTTCCTACTGAAGCTGCTAAAGTATTTCTAAGTGGTGCTTATGTTGCAGAAATAAAGGTATAAGGGGCTCTAAATGATTCTTGCTGGATAGGTGCTCCCAGCCCTAGAAGAGGGAGCCCAGACCTGCACTCAGCTGCCTTCTGAGATGACTGTAAGCATCCCCATAGACCTATTGCACCGAGAAGCTTCATACAGATCTTCTCTCTTTTTGGTCTCTCTCATGCAAGGCACGGGGTGAGAGAAAGCCCAAATATGCTCCCCCTGCCAGCCCAGCCTGTCCTCCAGCTCTGGCTGCTGCTGCTGGGGAGGGAAATCCAGCCCCTTGGGTGCTCAGCACTGGGGTAGAGGGTGTAGACGGGGGCTGGGGATGAGTAGAGTGATGAGTGGGGTGCTGTGAGGCTCTCGAGTTGTCATTCACAGGAGGGGTAGAGCCACTGCTACTGTGAAAATAATCCTCAGCATAACAACAAAATTCAGTTTCTTTATGGTCTTTGTAACTAATTTTTTGAATGCAGGAACATGTTACAAGGCTTCTCACTTCCCACATGCGACAGACGAGGAAGAAACACCTGATATTCCTTGAAGAGCTGTGTATGAAATTTCCTTGTCTAATTACACGCACTACTGAAAGTCAGTTACAAAAGGGAACTGTGGATCCTAAACACACACTCTAATGTTGTAAGAGCAATGGTTTCCCTGCTCTCTGTCCACTTCAAACAGGAAAGCCCCTGCAGCAAAGATGTTCAGCTTCTACTTCAAAGGTGCCCAGATGGGTCACTTCAGTCCAACCACCTTGCTCAGGAGCTGGCACATGGTGCGTGCTGCGTAGGTGGGCTTTTGGGAAGGTAGGGAGCCACGAGCAACGTCCCTGGGTTTGCTAAAGGCTTGTGAGCTTCACCTTGTTTAATAAAGCTTCAGGTGTATCACTGGGCCCCTTTCAAGTTGGTCACGACATGCAAAGAAAGCTCCTTGCAAGAGCGCTGTCGGGTTTACTTCTGCGGTTTGAGAATTTAGGCTCTGCTTTGATTTTGCCGGGTCAGATAGGTGTGTATCCCTCCCAGGAGGTTTGCCAGGCTTTGTTCAAAGCACGGGGCTTTTGGTGGTTGGCTTGTTTTTAGTAGCAGAGCCACCCATGGTTTTTAAACGCTGTTTGAGGCTTTCTTGTACCACGAGGTGAAACTTTGAACGTGCACGGCCTCAGGAGTTTAAATACGGGCTCGTTTTCATAACCGCCTTGTGAGTGAGGCTGGCTTGGGTGGGGGCTGGAAGGGGATATTTCAGTGGGGAAGGCATCCTGTGGGGTAGATCCTAGCTGTGCTGTTCCTATAGGAGCTCTGAGATGTGCCTTTATGGGACAGCACATGGCCTACATCAAGCGTATGGGCTGACAAAACTGCCATTGGTGACTAGCATCTTCCCAAAAGGGCCACTGGTTTTTGCTGATGCAGAATGCCAAGTAGTGTAAACAGAGAATAGTTAATAGTGGAGATGGCCACTGAAGTCCTCAGTTGGGACAGCTGCGAGAAACAGTAAGGTTTATCAACATATAATAATGAAATACTAGACTAGGAGGTGTTGGCACTGAACTATGGTCTCTGTCTGCTACGTATTATTTGAGCAGATAATCGGTATAATGTATTTTACTCTCTATATATTGCAACTGCAGTGTCACACAGCACCACTCTATGGCTTTTAAGCCTTTTAAGAGTCTGGCTCATAGACTAAAAGGAGAAAGTTGCCATAACAACTGAATGAAATCAATTAGAGTAATAAGCAATTAAAATCTCATCCTCAGTGTTGCATAAACACACTGCATTTTTGCTTATGAATTATTAGTGATCTCGCCTCTAGACCTGTATGTTCTGTTCCTAATTTGCAATCTCGACAATTCTTGAATTAATGAAGCAGTTCATTTCTCCTTCAAAGAGTGCTGGTGGGGTGGCTTTTTTTTTTTTTGGCTGCAGCGAGTGCATCTTCATGAGAGAGATGTAAACACTGTGAAAACATCTGAATGAGGGAAGCGTTCGCGATGGGATTTCCAGAGCTTGGTGCTGCCTTCGTTCCCACCCAGCGAAGCCAACGGGAACAGAAGCCTATGGTGAGAAATTTTGTCTAGTCCCTAGAAAGACAAATTCAGCTCCTTCCTCTGTCACACGCTTCCTCCTCGACTCAATCATTACCTCTGTCAGGGAGCAAAAGGACTGGAGGTGATCCTCTGTCCTGTGCTTAGCTTTCCAAACAAGTCCTAACACTGGGACTCTACTAGAACCAGTTTTATTCGCTTTTACATAGTTACTGCTTGCTATTAAGGATGGTCTGGGGGTAACTGGTCAAGATGGAGATATTCCATCCTTATGGACAACCTGGGGACTGTTCTTAAAGGGTTTACCATTCCTTAAATATCCCAGTGGGGGAGAATCATCCTCGCTTTGTTTTGGGTTTTCAACACGACTTTTGAGTACCTGTCCTATAGACACTTACCTGATTGCTGTCCCGTTTTCAGAATGAGAATGATAATCCCTCCCTATCTCTTTCTGTGTGCTCGGCACGTTGCTGTAGTGATCCAAGTGCTGTGTATCTGATTTCCTTTGGCATACAGCAGTAGTAAAGGTCTCAGCTGGCATCCTCAGATACTGCTAAAATACAAAAGATTGCTATAATTAAGGGCTGTTTTCTTGGCTGTAATGATGTTTCTTATCCTCTCATTTACTAGCTCATTCAATAAACAAGAACTTACCTGTGGTGGTAGCTTAGCGCTCTCAGATCTCCAGGATGAACACGGATTAATTCCTTCCAGGGGAATAACAGCAGCGACCACAGACATGGGGCGCTGGGGCTAGCACTGGTTTTGGTCCTCTTTGATGAGCAAAGCCCTTCAGCCTCCCTTTTTTTGGCATTCACAGACTCATAGATGGCTTCAGGTTTCCGCAGAAAGCAGCTGAAGGCTTGACTGTGAAATGAAGTCCTGTTTACACGGTGCTGCGTGTGCTGATGTACACTTTAATCAGTGTTTATTTGGATGATTTTCTGTCCAGCCACAGTTGTTGGAAAGAGTCTAATGGAGGATTTGCTATCTCTT